TATGACAACCCCCAGCTGAGAGCCCATGCCTCGGCTCCGTCTCTGCAGCCGGCTTCCCCACTCCGATACCTGGGAGATCTGCTGCACTCAGGCACCCCTGGTCTTTCTGTGACCCCGAGGGTCCTGAGACCACAGTGTCCCGCGAGGGTTTCACCCCCTGCTTAGCCACTGAAGCGACATCCCTCAGCGGGGCCAACTTCTAAAAGTTCCGATTTTGTGCTCCGCTGCTCTATCACTTGCAGAAGTGGCCGACGGAGGCCCCCTCCCCCGCCGCCTATCCTCCCGAATATCGCCTCGGATTCACTCCTCCGCACGTCCTACCTTCCAGAAAGTGGTCGCTTTTCTGTTCAGAGAGTTGCTGCTATTCTTTTCTTCGATCTCCTGTTGAGTTCATAGGTGTTCAGAATGGTTTGATCCCTATCCAGCTGAATTCCTGGGACCAGACAAAATCCAGGTCTCCTACTCCTCCGCCATCTTGCTCCTCCAGTCTCAAATGATTATCATTATTAATAAATAATACTGGCAAGCCTCCAAAGGCCACCCATCCCACTTAAAATAAAAGCCGCAGTCCTCACTGTGTCTGGCTAGTTCCCGTGCCCCCAGCCTCTCTCCAGCCTCAGCCCCTGCTCTCTGCTCAGCTGCACTGGCTCCCTCATTGGTCCTCAGACGCCCCTTGTGTGTTTCCATCTCAGGGCCCTTGGCTTTGCTTCTCCTGTGCCTGGAAGGTTCTTCCTCCAGATACCTGCATAATTCACTCTCTCATTTTATATAGATCTTTGCTGCAGGGTCACTCGCATATAAGGCCATCCCTGAATGCCCTATTTCAGTGAGCATTCACATCACTCCCTCGTACTCTGTTTTATTTCTCTATGTGTAGCACTTCCTAATGGATCCTACACATTTGTTTCTTCTCTCTCTCCTACTGGCCAGAATGTGTGCTCCATAAGAAGGCTTTGCCTCATTCACTGTCACATCCTTAGCACTGGAGTAGTGCCCAACATGTAGTTGGTTCTCTATAAATACTTCTGAAATGAATGGACCTGTAGAGTAATCCCATACCTGTCGAACACGGTTTTTCATTACCTGTCTGGTTCCTCGCAACGACCCTAGGAGGAGGCCAAACCAAGGATGATTTCATAGATAAGGCAGATGAAGCCCAGAGAGGTGAAGCAATTGGCCTAAGCTCATGGGACTAATTACTTGGGAAGCTGAGATTCCCAAGTAATTAGTCACAGACCAAACCAGGCTCTGAGTCCCATGCAGGCATGAGCAGCCCTCGAGGATTCACTGCTTATCAGTCACACTGTTGCATCGTCTGCAGTGGACAGGGGGACTGACCCAAAGCCAGTTCTCACTCTCCGCTACCCCCTTGATGAACATGTCCAGTAGGTTTGGTCCTTTCTCTTGGGATGTTCTAGACAAGTACCCTTGTATCCTCCTCCAGGGCGGGGTGGAGTGTCTTCTCCTGGGAGCCCAGCAGAGAGCACCATGGAGACAGGAAGCCCGATCCTGGCTCTGTCCCGTCCTCCTGGACTAACCCCAGGTGGGGTGGGGTGGGAGGACAGTCTGTGGGTCTGGGCAGCCTGTGTGGCTTCTGGGTCCTCTTTCAGCTCCTCTCTGCTCTGTGCTCAGATGTCTCCTTGACCAGAGCCCGGCGCTTCCTTGGAGGACACCCCTTGGAAGGCTGTCTCTAAATGCATTGAAGTGAGGGAGCTTTGGACGTCCCTGTCCTCCTGGCCCCGCTGCAGAGCTGGTACCTGATGCAGCTGTGCACCACCACCTCCAGCAGCAGACGAAAGATGTCCCCTCACTCAGGAGTGTTGGTGGGCTCTGCCTCTGGGGCAGAGGAGAAGGGAGATGGGGGCTCCGCGGAGCCAGGAGGAAGGTGAAGTCGGGTTCCCCGCCTCTGCCTGGAGAGCCCTCCCTCAAATGCTCATCAGGAGAGTGACTCTTGAAGTTCCAGCAAGTTTCCTCCTCTCAGCTGAGGAGGCCCATCACCTGCCCACGGCGACAGGGTCCACACTCCTGGCCGTCTCCCCTGCCGGACCGTGGGCGCTTCCGGGGTGGAGATGGGGTCTTACTCCTGCTGTGTCCTGGCCCCTAGCACAAGGCCGGTGGGGCTAAGGTGCTCACTTCTGAATGTCTGAAGGAATAAATCAATGTGGGGAGCTGAGTGCTTTGTGATTGGAGTGGCAGCAGATCTGGTACAGAATGGGACAGTTACTATGCTGTAGGGTATCAACTATAGTCACTTCTTCCTAGAGTTGCCATGAAGTCAGTGAGCTTAAGTTCAAGAGCAGACTCTTACACAGGAATCTATCTGGATCCTGACCCCAAGTTTGTAGTCTGTGTTAAGAGTTGCATCATCATTTTTTTTTTTGGCTGTCCTAAATTATTAGATAAGAATTATACAAACATTATTTATATCAGCAGTCATGGTGGAGCTGGGGAGTATCGTGTCTTTGTGCCCCACAGCAAGAACCACCAATAGTGTGGTGAGACTTGTGACCCTTTCCAAGGCCATGGCTCTTGTGGCCTGCAGACGTCCACCCTTGTACCTCCCTGTGCTTGTGGACTGGTTCGGTGATCCACTGGGTGTCAGGATTTCCTCCGATAGCTTTATGGAATGGATCAATGAGTATAACTTCAAAGCATTTGTACATGGAATCTTAGCCAACCCAGCAAGAATTCAGACTGAGAGCTGCACAGGGGCATCGAGCTCACTCCTCTGGCAAGACTGAAGGCTTCGGGCCTACTTCACCTGGTTAGCACCACAATGGACAGGCTTGCCTTGTAATTGGACCTTCTTCCTCCTGCCCCAATTACAGAAAACTCAGGTTCCACAAAACCTGGATTCATTGTTGCATTCCATCTGTTTATTGGTACTTGTGTCCAGCACAGTGCTAAGCCCTGGGGAAAGGAACGAACAAGAGACACTCCCTCAGGCTCCGGGAGCTCTTCTCAGCACCGTGGAAAGGCAGGCAGTAAGCAGGTGGTCACAATGCAGCAGGGTTAAGTGCTAGATGAGGAGGGGCAGTAGAGGCCTCATAGCGGACGACCGTTTTTGGCTCTCTACTCCAGTTCCCTTCCAGAGTTCTTTCCTCCTACATGTCCGTCTTCACGGGAGGCCGGGCCTGCCCGACACAGCAGAGCCCAGGTGGCCAGATCCATGCTCTGCTCCAGTAAACAAAGATAGCCAAGAGTGAACACATGATCCAAGCCCAGTCAGTTGTGGGCTTCTCTCTGGAGCCCTGAACCTGGCCCTAGTGTCCCTGGGAAAGTCAGATGCTGGCACAGGCTCTGGGGTTGGATGGGATGCTCACAACACTGCTCTAGCAGAGTTCTGTGGTTCAGCCAACCCAGCTTCCCTTCGTCCCCCTTCATTTCTAAGCCTGGTTCTCTGGGCTTCCTTTGCATCCCTTAAGTGGGATGCCAATAAATTCCCTTTCTAGCCTGTCCAGCAACCACGAGCTCGATTGGTACAAACTCAATCTTGGCAGAGAAAAGCCAACTTTCCAAATGTGGGATATTTATGCTAATACCTGAAGGGATGAGTAAGAAGCTAGATGGATGGAGAGCTGGGAACAGTAAAGGAGAACAAGGACGCTCACAGGCCCACAAACAGGAGATGGAAAGAAAAAAAAAAACGTAAAGGGGCAAACAGCAGGTAACTGCCTTGTTAAATTAAGGAATTTGTATTTTCTTGAGGAAAACTTGGGGCCACTAAAGGGCAGAGGAAGGACCAGAGTTTTACAACAGTGATGGTAAGAAGGAAGTGGAAGGATAGCAAGATGAGCTAGAGGGTGACCCTTAAGTCAATTGCAATACTTCAGGCTTAAGACAGTGGGGCCTAGACTGGGCAGTGCAGTGGAGATGGGGTTGAAGTCAAGGGTTTCAGACAGTGATCATGGAAGATGGACAGAATGTGGGAACCGGTTGGGAAATGTCCAGTTGTTGGATGCATCTGGATGACCTGGGAAGGTTTGGACTCTTCAGCATGTAGATGGAACTGGAGCTCTCTAGTTGAGCAGAACAGTAACCTGCATGCTGCAGGCTAGAAAAGAGCCTTAAGAAGCCTGAAGGCAAAAAAATAACTGTTGAATGCTTTTGATAGGTCAGTTAAGACTGAGAAATGCCCCTTGGATTTATCTGCGCAGATTGGCAGCTCAGGATGGAAGCAGCTCTTCTGAGGTGGAAGCTACTGAGAAGGTAAAGCATGAATTTACGTGTATTAAAAATGCCTCCTCATGCCTCTTGCTAGGGACATTTGTATTACCTTTAGTAATTGTGGCCTTGGCCCCATTTTCAAAAAAAAAATCAGGAATGAAACAAATCTTGCCTAAGATCACACTGCTCTTAAGTAGTAAGGATGAATGTGGTCTTAGAACTCGTCTTGAGTTCTTCTACTTCCATGTCCAGATCCTGCCACGTAGGACAAGTTCATTAATTTGTGATTTGGTTCAATAAATATGCTCACGGTGCGTAGGTACTGTTCTAGGTGCCAGGGAAACAGCAGCAAACAAAAAAATTTCTATCTCCTCACATGCTGGAGTCAGATATAAATATGCAGTAAGTCACAATAATGGTGGACATGGCGAATGTAAAAAAGGGTAAGAGGTATAGCAAGGATGTGTTCAGTTACATTTTTCAATAGAGTGGACAGGCCCTAATTAACCTGACATTTTCTAGCTACGGGGTGGTGAGGAGAAGAATGCGTGGCACATCCCAGGACACAGGAGCAGAATGAGCAAGGGCAAAAGTTGCAAGAAACTGATCAGATCAATAGGGTGAGGACAGGAGGGCCGACTAAATCAGATGTAGGGCAGTGTAGACCAAGGCTAGTGTTTTGACTTAGAAATGTTACCAAGTTTTTTGCTACACATCTAAATTCATGAGACTTACCTCTGATTTTTTGTCTCGCCATGAAAGTTCCCAAGTCTTCAAATCTAAGCTGGTAGTATTCTTCATAAATTTGTGGCTGCTAAAGTCACACACAACTCTTATCAAGTATCACAATGTTTATTGATAGATACAAGTATATAAAATCAGGGCATGAACATGACTTGATAAATTAAGTAGACTTAATTTCAATACTATAATAAGAGGGACCAATTCAAATTCTCACCATTTGTTTCACACCCACAAAACCACTTCAAGGGCATTAACGATCTCTCAAAACTGATCAGTTTTGTGCAAGTAAACCATGTTTCTTTTAAAAAGACTTGTGCACTTGCCCAGGCTCAAGGATATTAAAATCTAGCACATAAAGCCCATTACTAGAGGTAGAAATACAGGCAATATACTATTACGGCAACAACCATCAATTACAGTTAAGAATTTTTCTGTAACAACCAAATGGATAATCAAATATTGCAACAACTCAAGTATTACTGAGCAAAGTGCATTTCTACAGTATTCAGTGTTGCTATTCAGTTTTCTAACTTAAAACAGCCTATGATAACTGGCAGCAAAGAAGGTCCTTGCAATAGACTGCCTCTGCTTGAGAACTTAGGATGTAATTATTGCATGCTGCTAATATACTATCTAAACATTAAAGATACTCCTAAAATATTTGATGGTAGACTATGATTAAGACATTACACTACAAAAAAACCTTATGCAGAAGGAAATCCTAACTGACGTGCTTCTGCTTTAAATATTGTGAAAACATTACAGCGGAATGAATTTTCGCAGTGGTTAGGTCAGATGCAGTTACGTCATAGCAACAGTATGTTTTGCACAATTTAAGGCTTTGGCTGGTTCTTTAGTCAGCTTCTTCCTCGGACTCCTCTTCTTCAGCAGTTTCTAGCCAGGTTAGCCACTGATTCACCTGTAAATGTGTCATTCCACAATATTAAGCCACACTTAGAGAAGTCAGAAAAACTCAAACCAATAGTTTTGATTTAGGACCGAGCTAGCAAACATACCAAAGGAGAAAAGTTTTAGGTAGTAGTGTATCTTTTAAGATTGCTAAAGCCTTCAGAACATACTGCTAGTACTACTTGTCTACTGGCTAGAAGTTATTTTAAAAAGGTGTGGAGGAGTTGTATCTGGGAAGCAGTACACAGCCAGTGAGCTTGGATGTCATTCTGGGACACTACTTCCAACTACTTCCAGTTCATTTTCGTGCAGGACAGGGGCTCGTCCCAAAACTACGATAGGTTTAGCAGGGCTGGGGGTGAAGAAAGTCCTAGAAGTAGATTTCCAGTCCCACCCCAGAATTGCTCAATCAGAGTCCCCAAGAACAGGGCTAATGATAAATGCTTCACAGATGCTCCTCACAAAAAGACACCGTGGAGACCAGTGTTTCTCAAAGGCTGCTCCCCTGGAAAACCACAGACCCTTCCATAAGCTAACGTAGGCAGTTAGCACAATGAGGTAAAGCCATGAAGTGATGAAAGGCTTCAAACAGTGCAGAAGGAGAGGTACATATAAAACTAATGAAGAGCCTTTAAAACAAATATAGGATGCAAAATACCAAGTCAATTGAAAAAGGCAGACTAAAATGCCTCTAACAAAAGATTTACCTGGAACAAAGCCTTGCCTTTCCCAGGAAACTCTTGGGTTATATCTTCTTTCCAAGCCAAGAAAGCTTCTTCTTCAATAATTTCCATGTCATAAAAGTGAACAAAAAAGCGGAGTAACATGCCTACAAGACAACATGCAATCCCATCATCTAGTGCACTGTTGGGAGACGTGGCCCCCACTCCAGCCCCGCACTCACCTTTGGGGAAGTTGCTGTGGTAGCAGTGCACCTGCAGAGCATACAGGGCACTGACTTGCAGATCAACGTGATCATGAAGGAATTTCTGCATTACTGGCTTGAAAGAAAGCAGCAGTTGTTTTTCCTGCTCTAACTGTTCTTTGGAAGGAGCAGAGGAAGAATCTGTCTCATCACTGGGTGGGTTTACTTCACTAGAAATATACTGTAAGAAGCTGCAAAGAAAGATCTTGTTAGAAGCCAAAAGCAAAATTTTCCAGCTCAAGAAAGACAATTCTTAGTCCCTAAAGACTTTTTTCTAGTCAATAAAGCATTAACTCTGGAGTTTATCTTACCTAGTCATTAAGATGTTCACAAATCCTTTATCTACATGAAGTTTGGGGGAGATGTTATCTTTAATCCATTTATATATGGTTTGAGGGGATGGATCCAACTTTATTTGCTTTAACAGTTCCTTCTCCAATTTGAGAAGTGGGAATAAGAAACTCAGTCCCTTTCCTTCCAAAATCTCCAACATGCGGTCCTTATTCTGATCAATTTCTGAAGAGACAAAAGCCATCTCCATCATCAGGTAGTTCATTTTAGCCAGTCTAGAGAACAGCTTCATAAATTATTTCCCACATGTAGGAGATTAATGTAAAAGAATAAAGAACCCAGCAAAGGAAACACTTAGTATTTGGATCAAAGGAAAAGCCATTAAATCATAATCACTTTTTATAAAAGGTGCCATCTAGCCTGTGGTAATGCTTATCACTATCTGGACAGGATGATCAATACAGTGTGATGATTTATATAAATCCACTCAAGGTACTAAAGACTCTCTAGACTTACTATTCAAAACAAAAACAAAAAAATCCCCAGCATTCTCTTACCTGGGAGCATTTTCTGCATATTGACCTTGCTTTGTTGAAAAAGTTCTGTTAACCATTCTCGATCTTGTAATTTAGCTAATTGCTGAAGACAAAGTAAGAAGAGAGGAAAATGGGTGCCACTTTCCAGTGGTTGAGCTAGTTCTGAAATGCTCACCAGCTCTGAAATGATGGCACGAGCTGCAAACTGTGCTAAATAGGATTTCACCAAGGGGATGTCAACCTCCAGTTTAGGGCACTGGTCCAATACATTCAGGAAAGCCTTAGGAGGAATACATAATAACATAGTCAGTTTATCAGTTCTCAAATACGAATGCAAGAGAGTCCTCACAGAATCAGACAAGTGTTGTACCTGCATAAAGTTGTCACTCGTGGCTATCCCCTCCTGTTTGAGCAAACTGATCAAAGAACTTGCTTTTTCTTTATCTTCATCACTTCTATCTAGTGACAGGATAATTACTTTGCTTAACATCTCAGGAAGAAAGTGTTTAGGAGCCCTCATTTCTCGGACACCACTGACAGCTTCATTTGCATTCCCACTATTCAGATATTCAGTCACAACAGTTTCCTGAAAAGAACATAATCCAAGTATCTTTAGTGTTTTCCTATCTCAGATACATTCCATGAATTAGACTACGTGATTATTTGAAACTTACAGTTAGTTTAAGTAGTTCTTCCTTTGATGGTGGTGGCTTTTTACTGGTCTTAGCAGGCTTTTCCTGGATAAGTGGTGGATTAGTTTTGAGACCAAGCTGAGGTGTCTAAAAAAACCAAAAAACACAAAAAACAGGTATGAATGTTTAAAAAACAAAAACACACTCATGAAGTTACAGGGAAGACACCAAAAAAAAAATCTTCAGAAAGTACTCTATCAGAAGAAAATGTTGTCATATTGCAGTCATACCTGTCCCAGAGGTGGTGTTTGAGTGCGTGGTGGTTGTGCACTAGGAGGAATCATAGTTATCTGGGGCTGAAGCTTTGGCACTTGATTTTTATTCATTAGGAACGACTGAGCAGGCCTCAGACTAATCTAGAATTGAAAACAAATCGACAACATGCAGTTGACAAACATTAGATCCAACATCCTACAATTAATTAATTCAGCATATACAAACATCCTAGAACCTAAGGCAGAAATTTTGAGTACTGATGGCTGAAAAAGTTGCTCCATGTTAACGTAACTTCAGGCAAGAAAACTAAAGATCTGATCCACACAAAAAAAAGATACTGTTTAACAAATCTTATATTTGTACTAGAATTCTCCTAGGAGAAGCATCACTAAGATATTAAAAATCAGAAAATTAGTTTACAGGAAAATCACAATCCAAGTCTTGACAACCATTTTCTTTGCTCTAACCGAAGACTTTTAAGAGACTTGCCCTCATATCTCATAATCTTCGCTCATAGGACGCTGGACATCAAAGAAAGAAAAGTAGTACAGAAAAGAAAGACGGTGAAGAACTCCAGCATTAAGTCCTCTTAATAACGCGTCTTATTTATAATCATCGGGCAATCAATTTCGGATTTGACAAACTTTGGTAGATAAGTAACACAGGCAAATGTACCTCATCTGCATTAAGCTGTCCTTTCTTAGAAAACCGAGGTGGCATATCCTTCGACTGTCCTTGCAGCTGGGATAAGAGTCCCTGACTCTGGTTATGGTAGAGCTGGCTTAGCCCCTATTTTAGAAAGGGAGAAAGAAAGTCTAGATAAAAAGGGGTCCACAAATTATGGTAATCAAGTACCAAAGGGATGAGCCAAGCCATAGGGAAAAGTTTAAACTGAATTTGCCCAGAGGAAGTAAAAGATGAAACAAGGGAAGAACAAAAATCTAGCCTGTCAAATGAAGTGCTGTGATTTTACCAATCATAAAAGTATCTTACCCAGTTTTAAGAAACTGTCATAGATAATAAATTTGGTTTAGAAAAACCCTAAAATATTTTCATTTTTAAAAAAGCAAACAGTAAATCACATACATTACTGTTAATACTTGTTACCTAAGCATTCTCAATGTTTTCTTACCTGGCTTTTCATGAACTTGCCTCCCATCTCTCCAAACTGCGATTGTGTGGGAGGCATGATGTGTCCCCCATGGCCATTGAAGAGTTGATTCGAACGATGACGCCCCATGGTGGGTGAAAATCTATCCTGGATAACTCCTGGACCAGTACCAATTCCGCTACCTTAAAATACATATCGACGAACAAACAACTCTTTACAACTCTGCTACTATTAAAATGTTGAAGTGTTTTTGTTTTTTTTTAATTGAAACCAGTTTCAGTCACGATCACCTGGCATTTGTCCAAACATATCAGCAAGTCCTCCAAGTGGGTCCCTATCCATTTTCATCCTGGGTGGCATGAACGGTCCCTCCAGAAAGAAGTCACTTCTCATCCCTTGAGCCATAGGAGCAGGAATAAACACTCCTAGATCCTTTAAAAATAAAGTGAATAAACACCTGATTCTAGACACTATTTCACATAAAACTAAAATCCTTATAACTGAGAAAAACAACTTCTAGGCTACTAAAGTGCTAATTATGTAACTTCTATATATAACTTCTTCCCATATTACACAAGAAACTAAAAATATTAAGCTCCACCAGAGTAAGGAGTCTCACTCAAATAAATGTTATTAGGATCCTTGCAGTTTCATAAACTTAAAAACCACTCAATTAAAAAAAAAAATTAAAAAAAACAAAACAAAACAAAAACCATCAGCATCTTACTTTTACTGCATCTTGACGGATTTGATTGATCGTCTTTGGTCCATTGTCAAGAAAAGCCTTGCGAGGAACCCAATGGTGTTCTCGCAACTCTACGGTATCCTTTAATTTCAAAAACAGTTTTAGTAAGTTTTAATATTCCCAAAGAGAAAAAAATCGGCTTATCAACATATTTAAACCAGTTTTACCTGCAGCAGGAAACGAATCCTTGCTGGCAATTCCTTACTTAACATCAAGGAGCACATTCGGGCAAAGTACTGATCCATTAAGGACTAATAAAACAGAAAAATACCTAATGAGAAAAAAGTGCTATGGCAAATGAATACTCTCATTTAAGTATGTTAAGACTTCTCGGTTTATAATCAAGAATGGGACAATCCCCTGTATCACAAAAACAAATCATTTCATTTAAGTAAAATTAAGACAAGCTACTTATAATACCACTTTTGTTAGCAACACACATACCTTAGCTCGTTCATGGTCTAATCTAGGTCCCACTGTCCTCATTATCTGACAGAGGCACTCCAAATCCTCTCCCATATCTTTGAGTTGGACTCTCTTCTTCTTTTCCAAAAGCTACCAAAGAAATAAATGCCACAGATTGACAAAAATCTTACTTGGTTTATAGTTTTTAATACTTCTCCTTATGTTTGCACTGATAGCACACTCATCACACACGGTACTAAGTACAGTACTATTTGGTCTGTATAGAAAAAATCCTTCCAAATTACGCAATTTTAACAGAGGTAGGTAATTCTATCTGTACTTTACAAAACACACCGCATACTTTAAGTACCTATTTATAACATTTAAATAAGTTCTGCTAGTCATTTGAAGTATTTAACGTGCCTACCAACATTCTCCAATGGCACAAAGCAATTATAATGGGACTTTCCCCCAAATGATGATGTACCAAACGACTGATCTAAACCTAAATTCCCATACTTACTGTTTTGATGCACTTATGAAGGATAGATTCATGAATAAGATCAAGCTTTCCAAGTTCTCCAATGAATTTGATGTTCCCCAACATCTTGATCTTAGCAATGGCTCTCTGTTCCTCCTCCTCGGGGAGGAGGGGATTTTCACGCTTATCATAGACTGAAAATAAAAAAAGTCAACTTTCAGAATAAAGTTGAAAATACACAGTACTATGTAAGTATCAAATATAAATTCTCACCATCAACATTTCTGGTTCGGTTTTCAAATTCATCTTGTAATTTGGAAATTAGGAGGCGTCTGAATGTCTAAGGAAACAAAGACATTTGGCAGGTTTTGTTAATGAAATCTTTCAAATAAATTTTAAAATAAGCAAGCAAACACCACCACTTACTGTGCTTTGCTTCTGTCCTGGTTGACCCTCTGCTGCTGGGCCATCAAAGTTTGGTGCATCTTCTGCCAATCGCAGACATAGCTGAGCATACAGTGAGCTATACTTTGGCTCTTCTAGGGCTTTGTCCACAATCTACAGAAAATAGGCATGTTTTAAACTAAACACGACAATTTTTGAAAGAACCCCTGCTTTAACTTAATACTTCCAAGTCTTAAGGATCTTTACATCTTGTGGTAACTTTCTGACAAAATCTAGGCCTCATCTACCTTGTAAAATGATTAGCACACAGCCTGGAAAAATACAAGCACTTCTATATTAGCTCGAAGATGGTACCAAAAAAGTCAACTGTACAGATCTCATACGAGTAACACCCTACCACCAAGAGTTGAAAAGATCTTGGATATTGAAGCTATAAACAGATACTGGAATCTTACTATCAACTATCCTACGATTCCTTTCTAAGACCAAAATAGGCTTTCCACAGAAAGAAAAACAACCCCCCCCCCCCCAAACCTGAATAGCTGTGCTTAGCCCGTCTTAACTCTCCAAACATAATATGAACATGTATTTTTTTAGTACGAACAATTTAAAATGCACCTTTTATGACAGAGGACCACCACACTTGCAGTAAGCACTCTGTAATGTATCAAATTATCAAATCACTATGTTGTACATCTGAAACTAAGGTTAACATTTTATGTCTATACTTCAATATAAAAATAAACATTCACCTCTCAAATCTGATGCTATTAAAAGTTGGTAGTTCTTTAAAATCAACAACACAATTCAAAAATACATGTATCTAGTTCACACCTGAGCTTTAAGCAACAGTGCAAGTGTACCAAAAAAACCCCCTTGGGTTTGTTAACTATTTTACTCTCTTCTCAGTTAAGCCAACTTTTAACTTACCAGCAGTATGACCCCTTTAAGGATGAGTTTAGACTCTACACCCACATTGAGGAGCTCAAGGCATAGCTTGTCAAACTTTTCAGGAGTAAGCTTATTTAGTATGCTGGGGAGAAAGGAATCACACTGAAGTGTCAGGCAATACACAAAGAATTAGAATTGAAAAACAACTTTTTAAGTTATGTTCATTTTTTTCTTCCATCACTGAGTATCTAAGACCTATCTTCTTACCCATCTAGCCGAGATTATGTTAAAATAAACCTCTCACTATTATTTAGATCGTATCTGTACCTGCTGGGGGTTCCCAGCTGTTTGACAAATCTTTCTCACGATCTCAAAACCCAGAGAACAAGAATCTCCTTATTATCAAGACTAAAATCCAGGAACTAAGACCATTATGTTCCATGCTTCAGTGGGTTACACACCAGGCATGGGAAACAGGACAAAAGGTTTGTGGATTTTAACCCAATGACTGCATGCAACTCTTAAGCCTCAAGATACCTATATGCTGCTGTCTTCAATTTAAGATAAAACTGCCAACACTGGCATTCATTAAAATATACACTTTGGACATGAACACTGCCTTCTGGATAATATAGCACATACACAAGAAAAACACAGCCAACTCATTCCCCCTCCCCCTCCTTTCAGTAAAAGACAAAACCGATCTATAAACTTACCCTCTTACTTTCCTGAAGATTGCATCATGTCGTTCTTTTTCATTTGCGGAGTTGTTTGCTGCGGAGTTGTCATCTCGTCTAGTGCTTCGTGCAGGAATCCATTTCTGAGCGTTTTGCCCTGGGGTTTTCCCCAGGAACTCGCTAGTAAAAATTAAGATATATAATTAAACTTTAATTTAAATATAAGCCCTAGCACTGTGACATATCAAATGTCATACCGATCAGACATCTTTCCAAATAGAAAGTTTACATTTTTTCAACTTCCCTTACAACTAAGCAACTCACAATCACTGCTTCTCAAACGGTGTGCATCAGAATCACCTGAAGGGCTTGTTAGGACAGACTGCCGGGCCCACCCCCAGTTTGTTTTACTGGAGCCGGGAAAGGGCCAGATATTTTGCATTTTTAACAAACTCCCAGATGATGCCAATGCTGCTGCTCCAAGAGCCACACCTTAAGAACATCTTCTAATGTCCTATGACCATGTTGCATGCATACTACTTTACTACCAATCAGTATGGATAACTGCTAATAATTTCTGATTTCAGAAATTACACTACTGAAAATAATCCAAAGAGTTAAGAGAATAAAATAGTCTGAGAGCCCTAATTCAGTGATTTACCAAACGAACAATCAAGAGCTGATATTCTAATAAGGATATGTAGCAGAAACCATGCCTGGTAGGATTAGGATTCCTGATATCTATTGCTGTATGTACTTTTATGCGGGAGAAAGACTATTAATCTAAATCTGTTCTATAAAGCTCATTGTTACTACACACTTACTATACCTGTTGCCAGCAGTCTTGGGATAGTGCTGAGGTGCACCCCTACTTCCTCCTCCGCCCGAAGAAGCACTATTAAAAAAAAAAACAAAAAAAACTTATGCCAATTGTCTCACCTAAAAGAGCTAATGGGTCTCTTTAATTATTCTGTATTTCAGAAATTACACCACAGATGAAGACTGAACTTGGGCCTAATGGAAATGACATTTATCCTCCAGATGGCAAACAGAAGATAATGAAAATTTAAGAACTTAAAAAAAAGTAAATGGCATTATTATACATTAAATCTGCAGCACATTAAATCAGAATTATTTGGCGTGGTAAGTATTTTAATCTTGTGATTAACCTCTTCATAACAACTGCCAAAAATAAATCTACACATACCTGAAACGAGAAGCACCCCCTTCTGCGATCGCACTCTCCACTTTGGCGGCTTGACAACGAAGAATCTTCAAAAGAATAATATTAATGGATGGGGTGGGGAGGGAAGAGGTTGGGAGAAATGAAAAACCTAGAATGAGAAAGAGTACCAAAATTAGACACTGCTAATATACCAATCTGTAAACCTTCCTTCAATTATAATTTATCTTATTTTAGATCCTGGCACTGCAGTTGATTGAACTTTCACTGCACTGCAGATAGATCTAAGACTAAAACTGAATGCACTCAAACACAAATGGACAGATTTTATTCTGCTTAGCCACCCGGAAATTCCCTTTATGTTCAAAGATGCGAAGAGCCTTCGCAGAAACAGAACATCCCGCCTGCGAACAAACCTTCTGAAAGAGCCACTTTCTTGAGAACCGAGCACTGAGATCATTAACACAAAATCTAACTCCATCAACACGACCACATTATGTGGGAAATGTCCTAAGCTTTCACTGCCTCGACGACGAGCCCAGCGGACTAGATAAGGAATAACTAAAGGCTGTTGGGTTTTCTCCACTGTCCATTCTTTCAACACCCCCGCACAGAGTGCATCCGGGAAGATGCGAGAGGGACTTGGGTGTACAGTGGCTAGCACTCGGCAGGCGGAAGACACGGGCAACAACATGGCAGCAGGAACCTCCGCCCATTTTCCCCCTTCCTGGGAACAAAAGAGCAGTGGATTCCTCCCACCCAGGCTGGAGTTAGGGAAGTGCTTCCGACAGCCTCCCCGCGAAGCCGCTGGGGGCAAGCCTCGGCGGGGAGGAGCGGAGGCCGCCCCCGCCGGCCCAGCGCCCCGCTCTTTGTTCTCCAGGCAGGAAGGCGGCCTCCTTCCCACCCGCCGCCTCCAAGCGGACCCCCTCCTTCCCCATAAATCCCCGAGGGACTGACAGCCGCCTCTCCGTTCCCTTCCCCGCTGACAAAAGGACGCAAATTCTCTCCTCTCCCCTCTCCTGTCCCAGGCGGGGCCCGCTCCCCGCCGGCACCGGGGCCTCAACATACCGCCTCCCCGCCGGGAGGCCGGGCTCCGGGACTCCTGCGCCTCGGCTGGTCCCGCGCCAACGGCCGGGCCCTCCCCGCCAGCCGGCACGTCGCTCCCCGCTGCGGCACGCGCAGCCCCGCCACGCTCTCCCCCCGTCCAAGCGCACCAGCGCCTCGGCCCGCCCGGACCCCGGCCACCGACACCCACGATGACGGCTGGAGGCCGCCACGGCTGCCGGCTTCCTTCTACTCCATCAGCAACGCGAAAGGAGAACAAAGGTGAAGAGTTTCTAGGTGCCTGAAGAGCGGAAAAAAAGCTAACAAGGGTCGCCCCGCCCGTCTCCGCCTGCGGCCGCCATTTTGTACCGCTCGAGAAGAAGCGGCCAGGGGACGGCGGCCATTTTAGAGCGCTCTACTCGGCGGCGGCGGCGGCGGCTCCACTCACCTTCACCGAGAACTCAGCAGCTGCCGCCGCAGCTGCCTCCTCAGGATCCGGTCGTCGGGGACAGGGAAGGGAAGGGAAAGGGGAACGGAAAACAAAAAAGGGGGAGGGAAGGGGGAGGAAGGAGTCGGAACGGCTTGGAAACCGCTCAGTTCAGAGGAGTCGCTGCTGCAGCCACCACCCGGTACTGGCCGCCACCTCCATAGAGCTCCGACTCGCTGCTGGCGCTGAGGCGTGTCTGAAGCTGAACTTATCACTCTGGGGCAGCCGAACCCACCAGAGCCGCCCCGAATGGCTCCTTCGCCGCCCAATCAGCCGCCGGACTTCAGCTTGCCACCAATCCGCGCAGAGCGGCGGGGAGGAGCCACAGGGCCAAGCTCGGTTGCGGCGCACTGCCACCGCAGTGCGCAAAGCTATATTCGCGAAGGCTCTGAAGCCAAGCTAGTGGCGTAAGGGGAGCTGAGCACGGTCGAGATGTGGGCCACTTGCGTAAAGTCGGAGAGCCCTTCTGAGTCTGCGTTGGTGTGGCTGTCTTATCTTCCTCCTGTCTCTTTGTTCCCTGACTCTACCCCGTGCCCGAGTTGTTCATACCCCTTCCCCTCTACCTCGTTTTCTCAGCGGGAATGGCGGGGGCGGGGGGAGGATGCGAGGGACCTTTCCCCTACCCTACCGGATTCCTGTCCGTGGCGTGTCAGAGCATTGATCTTCCTGGCGCCCCCAAGGCGTCGTGATTGCCCCTCGCAGGCTGGGCCTCCCCGGGACGGGCCTGTAGGTTTGAGGCCTGGCGCCCCCGGGGCGCAGTGCCTGGAATAACTATCGGTCTCCAGGTGCTCAGCGTCAGCAGCTTTAGGTGGGGGAGCCGGGAGGATAGGGTTCAGGAAACAAGACGGTGCACCCAGATGCGTAAAGAAGGCTTCATTCAGCTCCCTATTTATTCCACCCCCTGCAGAGTGAATGAGAAAGGGATAAAAGGAAGGGGTTTATTGTCTTTGTACCTCACACGAGAAGCAGCTTTTCCCGAAGGAATGTCCCGCCAGCGGTCACGGAGGAATACCCGGACCATACCAGACTTCTTTGGAAGAAGTGTTTGCGGAGCGCGGGCGTTTGGAGGATTTTGATTGCTAGCTCCCGGTTTTTGTTTTTTGGGTTTTGTTTGTTTTTAAGCACGTTGAAGACTGTCAGCTGTGTATTTCCATTTTATGTAAGCTCCACCATAACAAATAGGATTAGGCTTTTCCAAGCCTTCAGGATGAACTATTAATACTTCTCAGGTAATATTTTAAAGTAGGGCTATCGTAAAATGAAGTGTTCCATCGTTTGCGACATTTTAGCTACATGAAAATGGAGTCCTGGCTATACAAAAATGGAGTCATGTTTCCATATACTTAGCAGAAATTTCCCCATCTTCATTTTGAACATGCAGTTCTTGATACAGTGTGTATCAAAAGCAAGAAACTGTTTTAACATGCATATCTTTTAAAGAAAGTGTCCAATAAAGGGCAGGGTTTTCAAAGACCAGACTTAACGTTTGACATGTCAAAACAGCTCTTGGTGTTGAAAGCACCTAGTCGGTAATACAGTCTTCATGAAAGTTGCAGTTTGTCCTAGGACGTTTAAACCTGATAACAGAGGGGTGTGGTGCGGCTCTGAAGATTTCTAACACGATTCCAGCATCTTTAGATCTTTGCCATATATGAGGCTGATCATTACCCCTCATTATATTACTACAGTTACTGCTATTAAGTCAATTTCACTTAAACAAGTGGAAAATATCTCATTGTTGGAGGTAGTTACATGTGGAAAATAAAAGACATTTTGGGGAAGGGTGAAACTTGTGTTTCAAATACAAGAGGATTCACTTTGTAATTTCAGGACCCTTGTGGCTTCAAAATAACACCAGAACAGTATTTCTTTATAATATTATTACAGGGCTTTACAGTTTGCAAAAATGTTTTCGTTTTTGTGATACTTTATTTTTAAATAACTGGTTTACATTCTTCATAACTGGTAATACATTAATCTGATGGAATAATGTTCAAAAACGCTAGTCCAGATTTCAAAGATAGTATTTACCGAGCCCTAAAACCAGGATGGTCTTTTGAGGAGCCTGAAACTCAATAATTAAAAATAAAAAAGGTTTTACTTAATCTTTGCTAATTGTGAACCCCTCTGCTATGGACTTCGCAGTGTGTGTGAGAAACTGGGCTGGGAGAAAGTAACCCAAGGTAAAAAGGTGAAAATATGGATAAAATGTAATCTTTCACTTATCTTTCAATCAGTAGGAGAGAGATTCACAGTTTTGAAATGTTTCCATCACATCATGGATGTATGAAAATTCAAGTCATTATCTGGAATTTAGCTTTTAGTTTATAGAAAATTGAATTTTAAATACACCCACTTCAATCTGCTAGTTTTAACATTTCCATTTTATGTCAGTTTTCTGTAAGACTGCAAAGCTCTCAAAGAGTCCTGACTGACTTGTTAACTCATATATTGTTGCATTCTTTTAACTAATCATGTCAAATGCTGGTTATTATTCTAACACATACAACTCCTGGAGCATCTGCTACCTTCTCTGTGCTTAAGGATTCCCCCTAATACATCTCCGGCTCACATCTCTTAAGTTCAGTTCTGAATTTCTAACAGCCTATTATTGATCAGAGATGCCCACTTGCAGCCATATTTCGTTCGGGCCACACAGTAATTTTAAACATTTGAATTAGTTGACATTTAAATTTTAGGAGATTTTACACAGAAATCTAGATTTACATCTTTTCATGAAAAATCTTAAAATACGGCAATACTGGGCCTGAAATTCCAACAGGGCAACATTTAAGTATAGCTGAGTAGTGACTGCCTCATTTAAATGTTTTCATTTCACCGCAGTTAACTCTGACTTGATCCACTCATTTATGTTCCTGTCTGGCCTCTACAGCCATTTTGCTTTTTTGAGTTATTTGTTCAAACTCAAACAATTCAGTATGTAACCGATCATCTTCCTATTATAAGGAAAAGGAGTCAGACTGGTTAGTTCAACTACCTTCTCTACCTCTTACTGTGTAACGTTGGACAAATTATTTAATTGCTCTCTCAGTTTCTAAATCTGTAAAATGGGAATAACAGTTGTACAGATTAAATGAGATTAATGTATGTAAAGCACATAACATAGTCCCAGACATAATTACTTAATGTCTGTTACCATATTATCAATAATATTGATTAACCAACTGATTACTTTAGTTTTCCTAAGGATAACACTATTATTCTATACTAGAAACTTGACTCTACATTTTCTCTTTCCTTTTGATCATGAACACAAAATGTCTTTTATTTTCCACATGTAACAAATATTCAATTAATTACTAAGTCCTTGTGTTACTTCCCTCTAAATCATCTTTTCCCTACATTCATCTTCTTCCCTACAATGTTATTGCTTACATGCTAATCTAGGCCTTAGTATATTTTTCTCTTAAATTATTGGAAATTTCCAGTTGGTCTCCTATAATCTTTTCCCTTTACTCTGTATACTCATATTAGTCCTCCTTAAAACACTTTTTTCCCAACATATTAACCACCATGTTCAAGAATATTGGTGCTTCACTATTTTCTGCATCAGTTGATCTCAACCTTGGCTGCACAGTAGAATCACCTGAGGACCTTTTATTTTTTTATTATGTTTAAAAATATTTTATTTTTAAGTAATTTCTATACCCAACGTGGGGTATTGAACTCAAGACCCTGAGATCAAAATCACACACTCTACTGACTGAGACTGCCAGGCACTCCCTCCTCCCCACCACCCGCCCCCAAGGACCTTTTAAAATAATGTCCAGGGTGCATCCAGGACCAGATAAATCTGAATCTCTCAGAGTGGGATTCAGGCATCAACCACTTTTAAAGCTCTCCATGTGATTCCAATGTACAGTTAAGGTTTGAGAACTACTATAGCACGTCAGAGTTTCATAGGAAATAATTTTACAGCTGAAGAAAACCCTAAGAAAAGGAAACTGGGTTCTAGAAAAGATAAAGGACTTTCCCCAAGTAGGGAAACAGGCGTTAGAACCCAGGGATCCCAGGTCATAATGCTTTTGCCTAGCTTTCAAGCCCTTCATATTCTGGCCCTACCCTCTCTCTCTGATGGCCTTCTTTTTCACCACTCCCAGACACACAATCTTCTCTCATAGCGCCAGTTAAACTGGTATTGCTGCCTCAAAAAATTCACTCTACTGATTCTCCATTGCTTCCAGTTTTGAGGCCATTCTCATTTATCCCCTCTACCAATTCATTTCTGAAGCACAGATATGGGTATATAATTGCTCAAAAAACGTCAGTAAGGTTTCCCATAACAGGATAACATCCAGACTCCTTAGTTTGGTATAAAAGGCCCTTTGCAAACTTGTTTTAGACTACTTCCCTGTTCCTAGGCACATCCCTCCTCCATTCCTAGTTATCCATAATTTAGTTCTACGGTACTCAAATTTTGCTTCATTATTACACCAGTGTTCTATATCATATGACTAAAATTTGGAGTTCTTTGTCTACTTGGCAGAAAAAAATAAAGCTAATGAGTTAACATACTAGACATGGAGCTTGGGCTTAATCTGTCTTTAAGGAGCTCACAATCTAGACAAAAGATACATACACCAATTACATACAAGGATAGGGAAGGATAGAACAAGTGCTAAACTGAGCCACCAAGAAAGAGTGCTATAAGTTTTCATGAGACTGTGGCCATCCTTCCTTGAGTGCCGGAATGATGATTTGGGACTGTCTATATGGGCAAAGAAAATTCCTGAGCTGATCAGAACTCTATTGATTTTTAGTTTAAAGCTAATCAGTTTTAATTGATTGGAGTGATGTTTTAGGGAAATCAACCTTGCGCCTGGAGTAGAACGGATCGAAAGGCAAACCTGAAGATAGGGAAATCAGAAGGCTATGTACTGTATTATTTTTATGGGGCTTATTTTTATCTCCATTTCAAAATCAAAAGGTCCTTGAGATCAGGAACATTTCTTTTGCATTTCCAGTAGAGCTTTTTGTACACAGCAGGAGCTGAGAAAATATTTATGCATAGTATCCTGTTGACACTTATTCATTTTTCTCTTGGCTTTGGTGACTTTACATTTTCCAGGATTTCCTCCTACCTCATTGTCTCCTTCACCAATTCAGCTGTCTTTTCTGGCTTCTCCTCCTCTGCTTGACCTCTAAATATTAAAGTACCCAAGGATTTATTCTGGACCTTCTACTCTTCCCTCTGAATACTTTCCCCTTATCCTATGACTTTAAATACCATTTACATGATGATGATTTCCACATTCATAACTCCATCTCTGATTCATCCCTCCCCCCATGCAAGCTATATATATATATATATCGAATTGCCTACTGAAATTTCCCCTTGGGTATCTGAAAGGCATTTCAAATTTAACATGTTCAGAATAGATTTTCCTCCATTGTTCACCATCTGCCAGTTGCTAAGGCCAAACCCTATGAATTATTCTTAATTCTGGGTCTCTCTTCTCCCATATCCAATGCATCAAAGTTCTACTGCCACTATCTCCAAAATATATCTTAAGTTGGTCCACTTCTCTTGTCTACATTGCTGTCACTTTAACCTAGCCACCATTATCTCTAGCTTGGATTACTGCAGTAGCCTCCTAACTGGTCTCTCAACTTCATCTCTTGCTCTTTAATACATTCTTTACCCAGAATCCAGTCATTTTTAAAAAATGAAAATCAGATAATACCCCTTCCATGTTTAAAACCCTTTGATCATGGATATACATTATATTCACAATGAAATCCAAACTTCTCATTGTGGCTTACATAGCTTTACATGATCCAGTCCTTAAATATCACTCTGGCTTTATCGCCTATCACATTCCTCCCTGTCCTCTATACTTCAGTCACACTGGTCTTTTTTTCTGTTCACACATTTCAAGTTCCTGCAAAGCTTTCTTTTCCTCAAACATGCAAAAGCTATAGCTACTTCTTTTTCAAGGACCACTGTCCAAAAAGCTCTTATTCCAGTTTTTTTCCATGGCTGGCTCTTTTTCATAATTTAGCACTCAGCTTTATCAACTGTGGTCACCTCTTTAGAAAAGCCTTCCCTCCTGATCATCCTATATAGTATTTCCTTTTCCAGCCATTCTATCATTATTATTCCACTTGTTTTTTTTTTTTAAGATTTTATTTATTTGACAGAGACACAGCGAGAGAGGGAACACAAGCAGGGGGAGTGGGAGAGGGAGAAGCAGGCTTCCCGCTGAGCAGGGAGCCCAACGCGGGGCTCGATCCCAGGACCCTGGGACCATGACCTGAGCCGAAGGCAGACACTTAACGACTGAGCCACCCAGGTGCCCCTCCACTTATTTTTTTTCATAGTCCTTATCACTGTATGAAATGATTTTACATTCTTTCTTGTATATTGTCTGCTTACTGCATTAGTATGTAAGCTGAATGACAGCAGGAACCCTGTCATTTTCACTGTTATATCCCTTAGACACAGTGCTTTTAGAAGTTTCTGGCATATAGTAAACATCAGTGAATATTTATTGAATATAATATATATTCTCTTATTTGAGTCTCAGTACAAATCATGTGGGTAGGTAGGGAAGTGTCATTTCCCATTTTAAAGATAGGGAAATTGAAGGTTAGGTGACTTTTCCAATGTAATTCAGTTAGACTGTGGCAGGATCTCATACTTTCCCAAGTGCCCCAAGCTCTCTCTTTTCTATAGCAACATTACTAACTACAATGGGGATGTTCCTTTTTTTTTTGTCACTTATTTATTTAAAGATTTTGTTTATTTGTCAGAGAGAGAGAAAGCACAAGCAGGGGGAGTGGCAGGCAGAGGGACAAACAGGCTCCCCACTGAGCAAGGAGCCCAATTCGAGACTCCATCCCAGGACCCTGAGATCATGTCCTGAGCTGAAGACAGATGCTTAACCAACTGAGCCACCCAGGCGTCCCTTTTTTGGTCACTTTTGCATGCAATGTGTAAGATACTTGCATTAGTTTCCTGTGGCTGCTATAACTGTCCCAAAGTGGGTGGTTGAAAACAACATAAATTAACTTTGTCACACTTCTGGAGGTCTGAAGTCAAAAATCAAGGTGTTAGCAAGGCTGTACTCCCTACAGAGGTTCTAGAGAATTCTCTAGAACCCATCTCTTGCCTTTTCCAGCTTCTGGTGGTTGTTGGCATTCCTTGGCTTATGGCTGCATCTCCCTTGGCTCTGTCTTCACGTTGCCTTCTCCTCTGTGTGTCACAAAACTTCCTCTGACTTTCTCTTATGGTACATATGATTGCACTCAGATAATTGAGAATAAACTCTTCTCAAGTTCTTTAACTTAGGGGTGCCTGGGTGGCTCAGTTGGTTAAGTGTCTGCCTTTGGCTCAGGTCATGATCCCAGGGTCCTGGGATGGAGCCCCATGTCGGGCTTTCTGTTCAGCGGAGAGCCTGCTTCTCCCTTCTCCCCTCTGCCTCCACTCCCCCTCCCTCTGCCTGCCACTCCCCCTGCCTGTGCTCTCTCTTGCTCTCTGTCAAATAAATAAATAAATAAATAAATAAATAAATAAATAAATAAATAAAATCTTAAATAAAAAAGATCCTTAAGTTCATTTTTTGCTACATAAGGTAATATTCACAGGTTTCAGGGATTAGGACATGGACACATCTTT